TGGGCCCCCCCCCCCCCATGACTTAAAGGGTAGAAGTAAAGTGATAGAAGATTTCTGTGATGTGTGGTGGCTGAGTTATATTGACATTTTGCATATTATATTACAATGTTTATATTGGATTATATTATGGCCGGTCTAAAATAAACTTTTGTATCTGCTGGTTGAAAGGCAGTATTCTCTTTAAAAGCTATATTTAGAAGCTATATTCTTCCTCTCATCTCATCCTGAAGACTAAAAACAAATAATAGTGCTAAAACATGCAATACCATGCTCCCCTTCATGGTAAATGATATGTATGTTTGCTCTTTTACTGACTTGATATCAAAAACTAACATAGAAGAAGTTTTCATAATATTTTTGAAAGATGTTTAGACCTGAAATTTGATGGATTGTCAGGAAAGGAATTCTGCAACTGGGTCAGTCATTTCAAAAATTTCCTATATATGCATACATATTCTTGCAATATATGTAAAGCTGTAACAAAGAGCTGTAGTCTGTTGATATTTTGGATCTTTATATGGATTTCCAGATAAACTATCTTGAGCACAGATTATTTAATGTTGTATAGCCTGATCCTCTAAATGTTTATTTAGAAGCAAGCCTCGCTGATCCCATTGGAGCCTTATTACTAAGTATGGACTTAAATGTTTATAGTGCTGTTCTGAATTGTACCAATTTTACTAGGGACTCTATATCTTTTTTTTTTTTTCCTTCATCTCATTTCAAACAGCGGTCATAGAACTGAAAGTTGACATTTAACTGTCAAGGCAACCAATACTCATTGCAGAAATCTAAGCTAAGGTGTTCCATACAGTTAGTTGTCCAGTATCTTTTTGAATGCATCTAGTAAAGGATAATGTATCAATTATAATCTTAAATGGATTCATTTTTGTGTGGCTTCCGAGCATCTTGTTTCATAAGAGTGTTAAAGAATTAGGGATGTGCAAAATGCTTCAAAGTTGAACCATTTTGAATTCACAGAGTCACATTTCAAGTGTGAAACAGCTATTCTGAGTGTAGAACAAGTTGTTTTGAGCATTATAGAAGGGTTCTGAGCTTGAAACCACTGTTATGGGCACAGGATGTTTCTAAAGCAGTTCTAAAAGCTCTATTTTGCATGCAAAATGGTGTGTTTGAATTTGAAACATTTCAAATTGAAATGTTTTACACATCTTTAGGAAACCTGCCAGATCAAACCACAAGTCCTCATGCATACAGCATTGACAACCCAGGTTCCTCTAGGCAATCCACAAATAGAGCATGAAATTGGCATTATTACTCTGGTATTGCTTGGTATCTATTATTTATATCTAATATTTAGTCTACTGCCATGTGAGTATTTTTAGTCATGATATAACAACAAGAGCACTTTTAGGACTGCAGAACTTAAGTTGGACTAATGAGGTAGAGCACATTGATGAAGCCTAATGACATTTCTCTATTCTCCTACCCATTTGCTTTGATGAGACCTGCAAGAACTTGCCAAGATGGTTTCTTAAGGGGCCCACTTGTAGCACTGTTACCATATTTTATATTCTTTTCTTTTAAGACAAAACAAGCAACACTGAAGAGGAGCCACAGCACACTCACCATTGCCATGCCACACAAAAGTCTAACAAGATCAATAAGGTTTGGTTTCTTATCCATTTTTAAACAGAACTCATCAGTCGAGGCCACAGCTCTAGTTTGGAAGTCATACATGAATATGTATGGTTCTAGAGAAAATGAGAGCCTCCACACATGCCTGCCTTGAGTGGTTGGGTATATTTCATAAATATATCCAGCTGGCAGTTCTTCACAATTTTATTCACAAATTGCCATCAGCATAAATTATTTCTTAATATAGTGTCCAACAGTCCTTTAGTATGTGCCATTGAACTTCTTGTGGGAGAGTCCATTTGGTTCCCCTGCATTCTTTAGAGCAGCTGCCGCAAAATGATTGTTGTGAACATGCTTTGCAATGGTTACTGCATTTGTCTTAGTTTTTGAAGTAACTGTTGTCTTTTGCTAAGTATGTAAAGTTAGTGCTGCATTGTATGTTATTTTAAGATCCTTCTAAGTTGTTTATCTTGGATGCATTTGCACTATGAATGACAAGGCTGGATAGTAAGGATTTGAAATTATTTGTAGTGCTGATATTTGTAAATATATAGGAGTGTTTGCATTTTCTGATATATCAGATATTTCATAGGAAAGATGCTCCATTCTTTGAGTACACAAACCCATATTATTGAATTGTATTGCCTAACATATTCATCAGTTTACTTCCTGTAAATGCTCTAATGGGTTGACTATATCCTGGTTGAAGTGATTGAACTATATTAATGAAATACACATTCTCGGTTATGTGGAAAGAAGAGTTTGTTACATTTTTCTCATCAGTTGCTTATTGCTGTAATCTTCTGGTTTTTATTACAAAGTTATGTATGTCTATTTCTGTGTGATTTGAGTTTTTTTTTCTTTTTTGCAGCTGTGGGTGATATGCTATGTCTTTGTGGCATATGTGATGTTGTTGAAACAGTACTGTCAGAAAACTCTGAAATATTAGATAGTGATCATAACATTAAAAATGATGCAGGTCGACTGCCGTCAGAGTATTGTATTTTGAGGATGGATCCGACTGATCAAACAAGTAAATGCAGTTAGTTTACCTACTCTTTGTTTAGCATTACTGAATATGTGCACTTACAAAAAATAGAACAGAAGAATATCTGCCGGTTTAATTGTGTTAAACTACCAAAATGTAATAACTGTATTTTTGTTCAGCTGTGCAAATTCCAAGGACACAGAACTACTCTGTGACAGGAAAAAAGAGCATGATGATATGCTAATCTAAAGATCCTATGCATGCTACCTTCACTATCTTCAAAGCAGGAACAGTTCTAATAATGATGCTTCAGTTGGACAACCAAGCCTTGCATTTTATAGGCAAGCACACAAAATTCAAATCTAATCCCAAGCATGCGAACTTTATG